CGGTATTGGCCGCCGTTACAATTTTAGTTTATTGCCTGGAGATTGATATTGCCGTGATCGCCATCGTAGTTTTGCTCGGGCGATTTTGATGACCTCTCCAACAACTTTCACCAGAGGCGGTGGATAACGTTCCCTACATTTGCCTCTTTCTCTTCTCTTTCCGCTCTAATTGCCACAAATTTAATTAAATGAATTAATGACACTTTATGCTGTGATCGGGTTTCACATGAGAGACTGATCAAGGTACGGAGTGCGAGGAGGGAGGCTCTGTGGAATCTGTCGCCAGTGGCCTGCACTTACAAGATCGTTACGCGACACAACAACCTCACAACGATCATCGTATCACCCATGCCTCATCAATCGTCGGAAAGAAAGGGATCTTTGGTAATGACCATGGAGCCTGCAAAGGTTGCTGGCGGCAGCAAATTAGGCACCGTCTCTGGTGTCTACATCCCCGTCTATCTCAACATTCTGAGCATCCTCATGTTCCTTCGATTTGGCCACATCTTGGGACAGATTGGTTTCATTGGCATTCTAGGTGAGTAGCAAGTAAGAAATGGGAGATGTTATGGCGCTCAGTTCCAACCAGTCTCGTCACACCAGGTCTTCTTCTCTCCGCCTATTGCATCGATCTTCTCACTGTCCTCTCGCTCTCCGCTATTGCATCTAATGGCGAAGTCAAGGGCGGAGGTGCTTACTACCTGATTTCCAGGTCTCTTGGCCCGGAATTCGGGGGTTCTATCGGCATCTTGTTCTATCTGGCTCAGGCTCTCAATACTGCAATGAACGTTGTTGGTCTTATTGACTGCATCAGACTCAACATGGGGTCCAGCTTCCCTCAGGGCTATTGGACTGGCTATGGGCTTCAGACAGCTGCCTTGATGTTATGCACAGCTCTTTGCCTACTTGGCTCTTCAACATTTGCAAAAGCCTCGAATGCGCTGCTCATTGTTCTTACCTTTGCCATCATCAGCATTCCAGTATCTGCCATTTTCAAGGCGCCATTTGAAGACGCAGCGGCTGGGATCAAGTTTACAGGCATTAGCGTCGATACACTTATTGGAAATTTTGTCCCTCGGGTCTCTGAGAGAAGTTATGAAGGCGTCAAGACCTTCCGGGATCTCTTTGGTGTTCTCTTTCCGTGAGTACCTCCATGCCTCCAGTATCCGCTCATATCAGCTAAAGCAGTCTATATAAAGAGCCACTTCCGGGATATTTGCTGGAGCTTCCATGTCTGGTGATTTACGAAATCCAAGCAAGGCTATTCCGAATGGAACACTATGGGCCACCCTTACAACATTCATTGTCTACTTTACCGTCATCCTATCGATGGCTGCAGCCATCACTCACGAATCTTTTCTGGCCAATGATAACATCATTTCTCTAACAAGCTTATACGCCCCTATAATCTTAGCTGGCGAGTGTGCCGTTACCTTCTTTTCGGCTCTCATGGGTGTCATCGGTTCAGCCAAGCTTTTTCAGGCGCTTGCCCGTGATCAGCTTCTCCCAGGGCTGTCACTCTTCGGGAAAGGAACTAGACATGGCGATGAGCCCATCTTTGCCATATTTTTAACTTACTCCATTGCTCAAATTGCCCTTTTTGCAGACTTGAATCAAATTGCTACACTCATTTCCATGGGTTATCAGGTCCGTATATCGAAAGATCCATGTCTTGATCCTACTCCTTGTTACACTCGGTTGATAAGCTAACAACTTGGATAGATGACATTCTTTGTCATGAACCTGGCTTGTTTCCTTTTGAAAATTGGATCTGCTCCCAATTTCAGGCCCAGTTTTCAGCTTTTCAGTGCACAAACTGCATTTGTTGGGAGTGTCCTATCCGCAGCCGCCATGTTCTTCATCGATGAGGCGTATGCCTCAACAGCAATCTGCGCTCTCATTCTAGTGTTTTTGCTGATTCATTACCTCTGCCTACCTAAGCACTGGGGTGATGTCTCTCAGAATCTCATCTACCACCAGGTTAGAAAGTATCTATTAAGGCTAAAGCCCGAGCACATCAAGTTCTGGAGGCCGCAAATCATTCTACTCGTCAACAACCCGCGGCGACAGACTGGGTTGATCCAGTTTTGCAATTCACTGAAGAAAGGCTCGCTTTATATCTTGGGCCACGTTATTGTGACGGACGACTTCAATACCGGAGTCCATGAGGCGAAGCTACAACAAGCAGCTTGGACACGCTATATATCCGAATTTTCCAAGATTAAAGCATTTGTACAGCTGACAATGTCGCCATCCATAAACTGGGGTATTCGAAATCTCATTCTGTCGTCCGGTCTAGGGGGTATGCGGCCCAACATTGCCATTATGGGATTTTACAACATGGATGACCTACGAAGATCTAGTCATCGATTAAGGGTGCCAGATATTCCAATGGCCCCCGCCTCCAAAATGAATCGCCCACCAAAATATCAGGGGAAAGCGACGTCAAGGCCTCGTGGTGATACGTCTGCTCGCTTGCTAGAAGGGTTCCTACCTACCGATGCAATTCGTACTGAGGACATGATGTCTCCGGCGGAATACATGACCGCTTTGGAAGACTTGGCTCTGTTGTATCGGCTGAATGTAGCTGTTGCGTACGGATTTGATGATCTGGAGACGCCCCGAAAAGACGAGTCCAGCACAAAGAAGTATATCGACCTATGGCCTATCCAAATGTCTGCCGAGGTTTCATCCCAGGGGAAGAATATGTTGACTTCTAATTTCGACACCTGTAGGTTTAACCAAGTTTTCTTCTCTCATGTTAATATCTTTGAGCTTTAGATATAACTAACTTTGTACAGACACTCTCATTCTACAACTGGGTCATATTCTCCGCAGCGTCCACACTTGGAAACGAGGCTATACTATAAGAGTCATGGTTTTTGTCGAATACGAAAACGAAGTTGAAGAAGAGATGGCACGAGTCCGGGCACTTTTAGAGAAGCTGCGTATCGACGCTGAAGTACGAGTCTTTTGGCTAGCTTGCGGCCAGTTGGACATGTATGAGCGCATCATCAACGGCAGGAGCAGCAATCTCGACTGTGAGATTATCGTCGGTGATGCATTAAGAGATGAGGAGTGGTGGAATGATTTGGAAGACTTCCGCGGGAAAACCGAAGCCATGTCATTGAGCCAAGAGTTTACACATATGGCACATATTCTTACTTCAACCGCTGGAAGACCTGGAGTCTACAATCCACATGAAGAACAAGAGTCACGGCGGAGGCGCTCCAGTGTCATGAATCTTCCTGGTATACCCAAGCGGCCAAATATCGGCTCCCTTTCAAAGATGGGAATAAATATGGGAATGCATACTCATCACCTGAGCGAAGAAGTCTTTGAGGATTCGGATTTGGAATACGAAAGTGGCAGCGATACAGATACCATTAGCACGACAGGCTCTGTGATAGATCCACTGTCGCCAGAGATGTCATCTTCGAACCGTTCTCGGGTGCCACGAACACCTCCGAGGATGCGCGAAAACGGTGCCTTCGGTCAGCCGCCTAGGCCAGGATATCATGCTAACATCAATCTCCCAAACACTCAATCATATGGTACCATGTCAAGATCACATGCCTTTTCGCAAACTCAGGGTAGACACGATTCGGTCATCATTCCAGCATCCATGAGAATTCCCGTGGTTGATTTGGACGCCACGCCACGAGCAAACAATCGACAGAGGAGCAGCTTCAAAATCGAAATTAAAAGCATCGAGTCTTTTCCAAATCTAGATCAGTTAGCAATCCCTGAATCACGGCAAAACACCTTCCCGACAAGCAGCCCTACAAAAACCTCCAGCGACCGATATTCGGGAGACGACGATACATCAACACCCCGGCCAGGTCTTTCACGGCAATCATCTGCAGCCCGATTTTCAAGCCGACCTGTTCCAGAGATGAGAATCACCACAGAGGAGGGAGGCTCGAGGATTGGCTTCGCCACCACCAATTCCTCAAGCCCCGGAACCCCTATAACAGACCGTCCGTCGTTCTCTCGGCAGTCTTCTCTGGGCAAGTTTTCCACGCAGCCACTAGCTGAACCGAGGAGAAACTTTGGAGGAGGTGTGCGGGCGATTTCGTACACCGAGCAGCCGACGTATTATTCACGGGCAAGCACACAACCTCGTTACCACTCTCGACGAGAATCCCAGTCTTCCAACTTTGGACAGGGAGACGTCAGCTTAAATATCCCCGAGCTTGTACAATCACATAGACTTGATGCCGAAGCAAGTCAAGAAGATGGTGCTCTTTACTCGGCACAAGGCGGTGTTGCTTTGTCGTTCAACGACCTACCCAGTCGAGCGCAACACCTGATTCTCAACGAGCTGATGCGACAGAATTCTAAACAAACGGCCGTTCTCATGAGCACGTTACCGATTCCGATTGAGGGAACGTATTTGGACAATGATAGAACGATTCAGTACCTTTCAGATGTTGAGTTGCTGTGTCATGATCTTCCGCCTACTCTTTTGGTGTTGAGTAATAACATGACAGTCACAGTGAGCTTGTAATGAAAAGTTCATGGGTTTCTTATTGAAGGGATTGCAAAACGGGAATAAATTGCACTAGCATTAGCAGGCGTTGAATTGTTTTTTTTTAAAAGAAAATCTGTTCATTATCACAATCGTTCATGACGCATATATCTACAAATCGCTTCTCTCTGCCGGGTAGCTCACTCGACATATTAGCCGCTTCTTGTCTATTGTATAAACAGCAGTTCATAAACCAAGACTAAAAAATAAAAGTTCATTTATGATGCCAAGAGAAATTGTTCAGTAGTAAAGTCTTGAATGCGTGTCGAGTGTTGTGAACAAACAAAGAAAAGAGACGCTGTTCAAGCTCATTGTTTAGACCAGCCGCATGATCTCCCGCCAAGATCAAACAACGATCAAACAACGAACGACTTTATCTACAACCGCCTCGGATCTCCCCCTATGAGAATTTATTCTCTACTTAAGAAGAAGAAAAAGTAAAGAAGATGATACCGAAATCCTCTTAGAAATGCCGCATGCCGCAGAGAAAAATCGCAAAAAATCGTCGTCCCGTACGGTAGAAAGGGCGCAAGAATTCCGCATGGTCCATTTCCCCGACAGACCCCTAAAAAGAGCTCCGTACGCAGATTTTTCCAGAGAAGAAGATTGCAAACGCATGCTATCGGACCTATTGGACTGGTGGACTGGTAAGGCGCAGCCGCCGATTATGCGTAGCAGAAGAACGAGCCGGGATCTCGAGAAAGAGACGGAGTGTATGAACGGGATTCGACTAGAGGTGGAAAGAAGAGAG